AAGTTGATCATTTGAGTCCTGTGCCTAATTCAGTGTTCAGAACAGTAGTCATGTTCACATGCCAACCTGTGGGGTGTATCCTCAGTCAGAAGTTTGGATCTAAAGGCAGTTCACAAGGCAAAGATTCAGTTCTGTCAAAACTCATTTTGCAAATCTCTTAACGAGCCCATAAAACACAGTGCTGGTTCACAGTAAGAGCAATACAGCCAGCTTGTCTATTTCTCTAGTTGGACATCATCTCAAGCAGTTGGCTTGAGCCAGAGTGAAGAAAAGAAATCACACTCCGTCTCTAAGCACCAGGAGTGTACTTGGTATAGAGAGATAAGATGCTGCTACTAAGGAAGGCCAGCTGGAACAGAGGCTGACTGAGGAGGCACCAGCAGATTCCCAGCTCCCACCTCAGCCTTCTGCTGGGACACTAGCTGGGAGGAATGGGGGGCAGAACTACCCTCCCTGTTTGGCCCATTATCTTTTTCTTTTTTGCCAAGCAGATAGGGTTAATTTTGCTTAGTCTACCTGTGTTCACATGTCACCTTTGTGAACCTAAGAATGTGCAAGCCACTAGAAAAGGACAGAGAACCTGGTCAGGCACGGTGGCTCACGCCTATAATCCCAGCACTTTGGGAGACCATGGCAGGAGGATCGCTTGAGCCCAGGAGTTCGAGACCAGCCTAGGCAACATGGCAAGACCCCATCTCTACCAAAAATTCAAAAATTAGCTGGGCATGCTGGTGCATGCCTGTAGTTCCAGCTACTCAGGAGGGAGGTGGAAGGATCACTTGAGCCCAGGAAGTTGAGACTGTAGTAAGCAGAGAGGCGCCACTGCACTCTAGTCTGGGTGACAGAGTCAAAAAAAAGAAAAGGATATATAATGTAACCTGGTTTTTGGCCTCTAAAAATGTATGCTCTTGGAGTAGACAAGATTTTTAAAAAGGATTATTCAATAACAGAAGCAGCATGTAAAAATAAAACATATTTCTCCGGTGAAACAGAACCTAACAGAAAAAATATATATAACATACTAAATTGTAAACTGGAATTGCCGCAGGTCTTTCATTAACTTACCTACTGTAGGGATGGTAGGCACAGTCTCCCCCAGCTTCAATTTATACAAGATGGTCGTTTTTCCAGCTGTATCCAAACCCAATATAAGAATCCGCATCTCTTTTTTCCCAAGTAGACTCTTAACGAGCTTTTCAAAAATGTTTCCCATTGTAATTGAATTCTGTAACATGACAAGAAAAGCAAGTCAAATAATTGTTCTTTGCAGAGATACAGAAGCAACATGCATAAAATACAAGTGTCAATTAGAAATGGCTTCCAGGAAAAATTAAACAATTTTAGGTACACTTTGGCCAATGAGTAGTCTTATCTTCAAAGGGAAACTCAACTAAACCTTTCAATGCCTTACCAGAAAATTATATTTTCCACTGCAGCATCCAAGTGGGATATGCAACTCAACCTCAGCACTGCTACGACAGTGGCAGCCTTTAGTCAATTTAGTACAGAAGTACAGGACCAGGCGCAGTAGCTCACGCCTGTAATCCCAGCACTTTCGGAGGCCAAAAGGCGGGCGGATCACCTGAGGTCAGGGGTTCAAGACCAGCTTGGCCAACATGGTGAAACCCCATCTCTACTGAAAACACAAAAATTAGCCAGGCCTGGTGGCGCACACCTGTAGTACCAGCTACTCAGGAGGCTAAGGCATAAGAATCGCTTGAACCTGGAGGCAGACGTTGCACTGAGCCAGGACCACGCCACTGCACTCTAATCTGGGTGACAGAGCAAGACCGTCTCAAAAAATAAATAAATTAATTAATTAAATTTTTTAAAAACACAGAAGTACAGAAGCAATGATACGACAAATACAACTCTACCTCATTCTAAACTGTACTGAAATGAGAATTTGTGAAGCAGAGAAGCTGTTTATTTTATGCAATATAAAACAAAGTCTTTAAGGCAGGTTAAACAACTATATCCCTTGGAAACGTAGTAGTTCCCTATGGCTAGCAGACAGCCTAGTAAATAACCTAAGACATTTCAGAGGCAAAGAAATTCAGCGTTGGGAAGCTTCACTGCCAAGAGAGAGAACTTGGCAGAGTTGAGGAGGCACCACAGCATCCAGTTTTCATTTGAGTCTTTTGTTTTAAGACAGGGTCTCACTCTGTCACCCAGGCTGGAGTGCAGCAGCACAATCACGACTCACTGCAACCTCAACCTCCCCATCTCAAGCAATCCTCCCACCTCAGTCTCCACAGCAGCTGCGACTACAGGCATTCGCCACCTCGCCCAGCTAATTTTTGTATTTTTTGTGAAAGTTAGGTCTCACTATATTTCCCAGGCTAATCTCGAACCCCTGGGCTCAAGAAGTGATTCTCCCGCCTTAGCCTCCCAAAGTCCTGGGATTACAGGCGTGAGCTACCAGGCCCAGCCAGTATCCAGTGTTCTATTGCCGTAACTATCACCTTTCTCTCAACCAGTTCTTAGAACTTTTTATTTAAGTATAGTTTACATACAGATATAAACGTACATAACTGTAAAGTTCAATACATTTTCATGAACCAAACACATCTATGTAAACAAATCAAGAAAAGATGATTTATCAGGCTGGGCACAGTGGCTCACGCCTATAATTCCAGCACTTTGGGAGACCAAGGTGGGCGGATCACCTGAAGTCAAGAGTTCAAGACCAGCCTGGCCAACATGGCAAAACCCTGTCTCTACTAAAAACACAAAAATTAGCCAGGCATGGTGGTGCACAGCTGCAGTCCCAGCTACTCAGGCAGCTAAGGCACAATAATCACTTGAACCTGGGAGGTGGAGGCTGAAGTGAGCTGAGATTGGGACACTGCACTCCAGCCCAGGGCAACAGAGCGAGACTCCATCTCAAAAAAAAAAAAAAAAAAAAGATGATTATTAGATCAATTCTCCTTGTGTCTCCTCCCAGTCATTACTCCATAAAAGGTAATCACTATATTGACTTCTAACAGCATAAATGTTCAATATTTTATTTTTCAGTAGAGATCATGGTAGCTTACATAAAGTACATCAATAGCAAAGTTAGACTAACTTTACAGAAATGTACAGTCTCTTTGAGATCAGCCTACTTGAAATGTGAGCTTGACATTCTAAGTAAAGACTTAAAAGCAGTGCTGGGTCTACACCTCTAACCAAGCTCTTGGAAGTCTATAAAGATCTTCAGACCAGGTAGGGTGGCTTACCGCTGCAATTCCAGCACTTTGTGAGGCCAAAGCAATAGGATCACTTTATTTTTTGCTTACTAAGATAACAGAAAACACGGGAGGATTGCTTTAGGCCAAGAGTACGAGACCAGCCTGGGCAACACAGCGAGACCCTGCCTCTATTTTTAAAAATAATACCAAAAAAAAAAAAAACCTATATCCTTGTTCCAGAGACTGTGATTTATTTTCCTTTTAAATTGCTAACCAAAGAAAGCTTTACTCCTGGTCAGGGGAGGGGGAAGACACAAAGACGATAGGCAATCAACCATTCATTCGAACTCTGGTGACCACAGAGGGGAGGTCCACAGGCCTCACCGCTGAAATTCCACAGGCCTCACCGCTGAAATTCAACAGTGGCCAGCAGTAGCTTAATATCATGGATTACGCCCAAGTACACAACATTCCTTTCTAGGATGAGAGAAAGCGAGCCCAGAATTTTTCCTGTTCACAAATATGGAACATGCTGGGGGAGGGAAGGTATTTCCCGCTCAGATGCCCCTTGAGGCAGATAGTTCCACAGATTCCCCCTGCCAACCGCACAGACACACCCCCTTGACCTCCCTCTCCTCTTTCCTCTTCTTGCTACTCATGTGCCCCAGACCCCCGCGGTCCTGACACCCCTGCGCCGCTGAAGACCCTCTGGGGTATGATGGCTCCGATTACAGGGCCTTTTTGGCATGCTCACTCTCCCGGCCCCAAGCGCCAAAAGTGCATTAGGGAGAAACGTCGGCACGACGTCAAGGACACGAACGAGCACGGTGGCCCAGGTGAGCGTGCGCGGCAGCCAGGCACGCCCGGCTACCGGGGAAGAACGCCGAATGCCTTTTTTACCTGGGCCGCCAGGCCGCTCCTTCTCAACTTGTGCGCCCCTGGAAGAGCAGAGAGAGGGCCTTGCGTGGAACCTACGAAGCCTCCTTCGGTTCCTCGCTGCTCCGGCCGTCGAGAGGGCAAAGAAGGAACAGCGGAGCCCAATACCTTTCCGCAAGCCACCGCCGCCCTCCAGTTTCTGGCCCGCAGACGAAGTGGAGATCCAGCCAGGTCTTGAGTGCTGCCGCCCCAGGTGAGCCGGAGAGTCACCTGTTGCCACTCAAGGCACCGCTACCTACATCACCGCCGACTCCGCGGCCTTTAGGATTTCGGCTCAGTTCAGCTAAACCACAACCGGCGAGGAGATAGGAACAGCAACCAACCAATCACCCACCGCCTCCTGGAGCTTTTGCACCAATGAGCTAGAAGTTTTATGAGTGACGACATATCTGACCAATGCAAAGGATAGTAAAGGCCTAGGAGGGAGGGAGCGCCGTAGGCGACGCCACGCAGCTCTGGCAATACCCTGTTCATCTTCAAATGACAGCTCAGCGAGTTCCGGCGAGACACGCCCACGTCCTCCATGCCACGTGCGACCAATCAGAAAAGTAAAAGGATTGTCTATTTGCACAGCCAATCGGCTGGGAAAATCGCTGAGGTTTGAGCTAACCCTGGAGCATTCACACCAACCGGGAGCGGACATGTGGGCAGGGCCAGGTTAATAGTGCCATGGAAGGAAATTTACCGCAGTTGAGTTAAACGTAGACATTAGTTTGGGGCGGTGTTCCGCGTAGGAAATAGCAGACTCTGACACTGAAATTAGACATAAGGAAGGTTTCCTATTCCTCCTGAGGCTAGACTGCCCTCCCACCTCTAAACAGATTTTCAACAGTTGGGGAAAACACTGGCCACCCGCACCTCGTTAAAACGTCGCAGAACCAGTCCTGGTTTCAGAGCAATGCTTTCCATAATCAGTTCCCTAAATGCCCACCTTGTTAGCTAAAAAGGTTACAAACGCCTGTAAGTGGTACATAACTGAAATCATCAGAATTACAAATATCTATTACACATATACTATGTGCCAGAACCTATATCAAGAACTTTAGCTGGCGCGGCACGGTGGCTCCCTCCTGGTAAGGCCAAGGCTTTGAGCTAGGAGTTCGAGACCAGCCTGAGCAACATGGCAAAACCCCACCTCTACAAAAAAATTTTTTTTTTAAATAGCCGGGCATGGTGGCACACGGCTGTAGTCCTAGCTACTTGGGAGGCTGAGGCAGGAGGATCACTTGAACCCCCGGAGGTCAAAGCTGCAGAGAGCCGTGATCACACCACTGCACTCCAGCCTGGGCGACAAAGTGAGACCCTGTCTCAAACAAACAAACAAAGTTAGAAGGTACTGCTAGAATTGACTAAATAAATAAGAAAAAGAATTTTACCTGCAGGACCGTCACGTCCAGTGAATTAGAAACTATTTTCCCTGCTGTTTTACAGAAAAATATTAAGTAGCCTGGGTCTGTCCCACTCCCACACCTTAATCTTTTTTTTTTTTTTTTGACACGGGGTCTCACTCTGTCGCCCAGGCTGGAGTGCAGTGGCACCATCTCAGCTCACTGCAACCTCCGCTCACTGCAATCTCCGCCTCCCTGGTTCAAGCAATTCTCCTGCCTCAGCCTCTCAAGTAGCTGGGATTACAGGCACGCACCACTGCGCCCAGCTAATTTTTGTATTTTTAGT